CTATAATGTTTTAGTTTCATTGTCGCAAACTGCATGTAGGCCTACATGCTCAGTACCTTTGCATATACCTTCTTCAGGCCTGTCCCCTGATCCAAGACTACAGGGGGGGGGGTCTTTAAATCCTATTATGGAATTGTTTTATATTTTTATACTTTTTATAACAATTACAAGAATACATAACGCAAATAGACAAATACTGAGAACCAAAATAATAAAACACTAAGACTCCGTAAAATTAAAAGCCACTTAGTTAAAAAAAAAAGGATGCCTCCATTACAGTAAGAGAATGTTGCACTAAAAAATCATTAAAATACTAAAACCCAAAAAAATACGAAAATATGAAGAAAAAAAATATGAATAAAAAACCGAAACAAAATCATACCAGGACCACCCAAAAAGACACAAAACACATAAAAACATTGAAGTGAATGAACATTTCAGGAAGTTGGCTGGGAAAACCTATACTTAAAACAAAAACCCTTTTTTTTTGCTGTAACAAAATATGTATAACTTACCCATTGAAGCAAATGCGGCAGCAAGTACCACAGCCAGTAGCCCTAGAATTCCTGTCCGCATTTTGACGGGAATTCGCAAATAGACAACCATACAAAAATGTGCACTACATGCAACAACGTAATGGTGAAACCCAGCCACACCAAACCATAGCCGACTCTTAAATGCCTGTTTAAGTATTACGTTGGTGTTCTTGCAGATAAAGTAATTATGTTCTCTTCGCACTGAACGAGTGGCCTATGTTTATCACATGTGTTTACACGCGATACCATGGCAACCATTGTTGAAATCATGGGTGGAAAATATTCGCCCAGCACCAATTTCGAAACAAACAATCTTCATTTGGCGTGAAATGGCGTTGCCATAGCAAATGTGGCCATGCCGAAAAAGAGAGGCATACATCATACATAATTACCAAGATCTGTGCAATACAGAGTCCCCAAAGGGACATTTAATATTTGTTTTTAATTTCTGCGCATGAAATATATCTCGTGCGCAACAGATATTTCTTTTGGAGAGTTGCAGGCTACGTGCCAATTATCCAGGTTCATCGCTTGGGGGTGGGGGGGGGGGGGGGTGGGGGAGGAAGAGGGCAGCCCCTTGCAAGCAATTTCCCCTCTGCAAAAAAACCATGAGCATCAAAATATTATATAAATTATATATCTGCTACTGCGGCCTGCTAATTCCCGAAGCTGTTGACTGGGATCCAGCTACCCAAGGCCTGTCCCCACCATCCAAACCACTCCACACACTTTCGTGTTCCCCACCCCCTCAAAATATGGGGAAGCCAAAAATAATTATTGTAAAAACGCCTTGCCCCCTTCAGCAAACGAGGCCTCCTTAATTTCCCCCTGCAAATTGGACCCCAGTTATGTCACTGCAGCCCGGCCGTTTTGCTTGGGCTTTCGCCAGACCACGTCCAAATGTTAAAAAAGGCAATTAATAATCTTGCAAGTCCCAAAACGTTCAAATCATCCAATACTCTGCATAATTATCACTAATTTAATTACTGGAAAACAAAATTTCAAGTAACAGTCCGTCACGACTTTTGATGCAGCTCCATCAAAAGACGGTATAGCTACGCTGCTACTACTATAGGTTTTCCCAGCTATTTTAAAGCATTTTTCTTTCGAATTTACCGATTCTTATATACAAATCCGTCCAGAAACATCGATTTAGTGCACTTCCAATGTTTAATTTCGTCTTTTGTCAGACAATTTTGAATTCAGTTCAAGCAAATTCAAACGATGCGCACACGTTTTCGACCCGGAGTATTCGATTTCGTCTCGTCAACGCCGAACCGTGTAATTCAGAAATCGAATTCGTCTAATTGATTTATAAGAGACGAATTGGTTCTCTGTCATTGGGCAACAGCTTAGACGAATTTGATCCGTAATGACGAATGTTCTCAACCCGGTGACTGAAGAGGATGGCCAAACTTTGAAATTGAATGGTTAATGACTAAATTGGTTTTGTTAAAAGCGTGTGAACATTTTCGTGGACAAAATTAAATGATTGAGTTGGTGAATTTGAATGAATGATCTTTTAAAATAGCTGGGAAAAGTACCACTACATGTAAATTACCCTTCCTCTTGTCCTACAAAATTACAGCCTATACGTATTGTTTGGCTGTGTACGCCGCACTTAATGTATACAGTGAAAACTAAGTATACAATTGTATACAATGTATACTATCTGAACACACAGTGACATCTCGCTGTTATTGAAGAAGCGCTATCATTTGGAATGCGATGCTTTGTATTCTGAAAACTCCCAAAGAGATGATAAAAGGTTGAAAGATCATGAAAAGGCTCATAATTGTTTGGCCTGTGTGAGTTCCTATCTTCCTCAGTACATGACGAAACCCGAGGTTATTTTATTACAAGCTTGATTCGTGTCTATGTCATGTCGTAATGCTACCAGGACTGCACATTCATTCAATCAGCAGGGGAAAATGTTTACATTTCCCGTTCCAAGTTGGCCATTCACACGGGGAGTCCATAACATTAGTACAGTTTGTCAAACTTGCTTTGAATGATCATTCGCCTTTCAGTAGGAGGAGATAGTTGTGATTAAGGAGAAATCTAAAATAAAATTTCCTAAAATGATAATTCACTTTTGAAAATCTGTCTTTCTTTTTCGTCTGATTTTGAATGCACGTTTTTTAATCCCATTTTAATTCAACGAAAAGTTTAATCGTTTTCATTGTCCGTGCATTCAATTTTGAGAAACAGACGGCCAATTACGTTACCTGTGCATTACCTTTTCGCGCAGAGTTCTGGCATACAATTTCGTGAATGTGCAATCAAAAGTACGTTTTTCTCATTCAAAATAGCATATTGCATCACATAGCATTAAGCTATAGTGAAATAGAATGACCAATGTTTGAAATTGCCCTCTGAAAGCGAAAAGGAAGTTTTGCAAACGAATCTGAATGAGCATAAGCGAAATGTGCTGCTCATTCACTTAATTGATTGAACTGAAAGGGAATTGAATGCTCTGGTAGCGAAAATGAGACGCGTTTTCTGGTAGCGAAAATGAAACGCGTTTTCTAAAGAGAGATTCTCAAATTCGCATGAAAATGAATGACCGATTTTCAGAAGTGAATGAACATTTTAGGAAATTGGCCGGGAAAACCTGTATTAGGTCTATTCCCAAAGAGCAGGGACGTTTTTTTTCTCTGGTATACGTTTTTTTTTTTTTGGGGGGGGTGTAGGGAGGGGGAGGGATCGAGGGAGGCTGGACCTTTTCTAGACACTTTGATGTTTGCCATACCTGCCGGAAGCCAATTCTACATCGGCTTTTGAATTGACAAGCTATGAACATATTTTGTTCGCGATTTGTTTTGCTGTTAATTGTAGTATTATTTGATCCCGTGTGGAATTGGGGGTTCCGGGATCTATATCGACAAAGACTGTCCTGATGCAAATGATGTACTCAGTAGACACAGGTTACTGTTGATTTCATGAAAGATTCATTAGCAGTAGTATTTTATTCTTGACGACACTCTGTTATCAATTAGGGCATTAGCAGTAGTATTTTATTCTTGACGACACTCTGTTTTTAATTAGGAGAATTAGAAAATTTCGGATTCCGGATTCCAGTCAGATTAGTTGTGGTTATTGTTTCTCCCCCCAATCATTCGCGCTGATTGTTAGTGTACGATTCCCCGGCTACTCGGACGCCATCTTTCTCCACACTAACCCCCAAAACGACAACTGTATGCACGACCCTACGAGACGCACACTCCCATTGTCTAAAGCTGACCCGAGGTCACCACTTTCTAGGCCCCAGATACAGTGCGCTATATTTAGAATATCATGCGCATATTGTGTACCGTCACAGTAGCAGTGATACTAGCCCCCTCTCGTGATTAATCATGAATCTTAATCAAAGCAAAATTACACTTTTATTCATTCTCCTACACTGTTTTTCAAGTACAAGTGAAAATCTGCTTTAACTAGTGTGAGAACATCCGCGATTGGCGATTGGCGTTTTCTTTTCTTTTTCGGGGGGGGGGGGGGGGAGGGGGGGGGGAATAAAAACAAAGATTTATGGAGTGCCCAGGCCTCGTGGTATGGGACATTGAATTCGTGGTATGCGGGCAATTCTGCAGGTTGTCCTTGGGCAAGGCACTTCGTCACTCATTGCTTCTCTCCACTCAGAAGTAAATGGGTACCTGTGAAGGCAGAGATGGTGATTTTTTATTGAAATGCCAGCATCGAAAGAAAAAACCGCTTGATAAGAGGGAAACACCCTCTTTGAACAGGAGAGAACCGATGCACAACTCTTCTCACGTATATGGAATGTGTGCAACGATGTCCTGCGCAAATCTGCATTAAAAAGATATGAAGGCTTTGCCAATAAACTGAATAGATAGCTAAGGCGTTAACCTGAGGATATTTCAATGCAATTTTCCACACTTGTGTGCAGTTTAGGTGTCAGGATTCCTCGTGTGCTCTAAACGAAAGCCACGATTTTGTCCCGAACCATCGTGTCGTTACGGTTAGGCATGTCATGCCCTTGCCATGGTTTAGGAGGCCATAGTTAAAAATCACCATATGCTTCATTGAGTACAATGAATGTGCAAGCTCCGTCGAATATCGGTAAAGCCTAATTTAATGCGCTTAAAAATGTCAGATTATGCATACAAGTATTTTTTGCTGAAGATTTAAAATGTAAATTTGAAATTTGAAATTCCAATCTCAAATTTACAAAATTATAATATAAAATTGAAATGCACAAAATAAAATTTAAAGGTAAAATGTATAATGTATTATTTAAAATCATTTGATGATTTGGTTAGAGGGTCGTTTTACAGATGGCTTTGAGAACGTGCAAATTCGGCGTTTGGCCTTAGGAACCAAATATTTATAATTAATAGGTTTAACACAAGAGCGAATAATTCATGGTTTCGTACTGAGCAGAGAATTTCCCGTCTGATGACCACAACGCCTACCGGTGTTGTCAAAGGAAAAAAACAATCACCCGTCCTGTGTTGTGGAGTTGCATTCAATGACCGGAACCAACGAACGGCGCACGACCGACCAATCCTCGGAAAGAACCTCGTGTGTCTAGTGTAAGCAAAACTTCTTGAAGTATTTAAGTAAGTAATATGGCTAGTATGGATCCCATCAATGCTTTGAATTAACAGGGGTGGAATAATGAGAGGCATTTCGTAACACTTCGTCGAAGGTATATTCTGGGCTAGTCATCGTGTAGTGTTCAGCATCATTGTTTAGGTTTTCCCGGCTATTTTAAAAGATTTTTACACTCAAATTCACCACTCCGTCATTCAATTTCGTCCACGATCAATTGCACCGGCTTTTAACAAAACCAATTTAGTTATTTTCCATTCAATTATAAAGTTTGGTTACCCTCTTCAGTCACCGGGTAGAGAATGTTCGTCATTGCAGATCAAATTCGTCTAAGCTGTTGCCGAATGGCAGCATGCATGCAGAGATCGAATTTGTCTTATGTAAATCAACTAGACAAATTTGATTTCTGAATAACACGATTCGGTGTATAGACGAGACAAAATCGAATACTCCGGGTCGAAAACGTCTGCTCATTTGTTGGGCCTTAAATTGAAATTGTCTGGCAAAAGACGAAATTGAACTTTGGAAGTGCACTAATTCGATATTGCTGGACGAATTTGAATATAAGAATCGGTGAATTCGAACAAAAAAATGTTTTAAAATAGCCAAGAAAACCTATAGAATTTATACATTTACTGCATATACATGAATAGTCAATGAATTGATTTATTGTTTCTTAATATTTGACACAGATGTTGAAACAAAACCGGGAATTCAAACCTCCATTTATGACGGGTTAGATGACCATTATGAAAATAGCTGACTCAAGCAATAAAAAACACGATCCACATCAACTCAACACGGCTATATTTATCTGAGAATCGTCAAAACTACAGACATTTCAGTAAATTACATATATTAGGCCGATTTCGAAACGGATTTAAATCAAGGATCTAACGAAAGAATTTGATGGAAACCTTGGGTCGTATCTTTTTTTCTTTCAGCCTTCTAAGTACACGGAGAACAAGAAATCACGTTCAGCAATATGACAGAAAACTTTATTACTGTATTGCAGTGCTGTCTTAGTGGCGTCTGTGCAGTGGCTACAGTAGAAAATCTCCTTGTGATTGCAGTGTTTGCTGGCACCAAAAAGCTCCGCATGAAGTTCTACGCTTTCATCCTCAACCTGGCCTTGGCTGACCTCGTGTTTGCCATAGCAGCAATGTTAGGCACATGGATCAAGACACCGGTTATCAGTGCTTGTATTAATGCAACTTTCGCGGTTTCAATATTGACTATTCTTGCCGCTGCCATCAATCGCTACCTGGCCCTCTCCCTTATGCCACCGGCTCGCTACGATTCACTGGTCACTGGGTGTCGTCTAGTCGGAGTCTGTATCGTTTTGTGGTGCCTAGGCCTCGGCTTTTGCTTACTTACGTCTGACGCGGTCATCAAAGCAGTATTAAACGGAGTACAGTACGTTGGATTATCACTGGCTGTGTGCATTGTTTGGGTTATCACTGCACTTGTTTATTTCCTGGCTTTCCGTAAGATCAAACAGTATACTCCACCTCTTGCATCCGCGGCGGCAGGCACCAGTGCCAACGCCGAGCGAGATCAAACCCGAGTCCAGCAGACTCGTCGTTTACTGGTCGTGTTTGTTCTCATTCTGGCTGTGTCATTCATTTCGTGGGTGCCTATTAGCCTGCTGAGGGTGATTCGCTTTTTCGATCGACCGTTTGGGCAAAGTGATAACTTTCAGGTGTACATTTGGGGAAGTCGCCTACTCTACACTCTCTCTACCGCGATCAATCCGTTGGTATACTGGTGGCGATTGGATAGTTTTAGGGAGAGATTTCATTCCTTGTTCTGTCGTTGTGTCAGCAAGGCAAAACCTAGCGAAATTGAAGCTGACCTGACTACTAATGACAAAACAATTGCTGAATCTGGTTTGTAAACGTTCAGGCATGTTATACCGAAAGGCATTTTAAGCTTGCCAAATCTGGGGGAAAAAAATTGGTGTCTTTCTATTTTTAAAATGGTTTTTGTCAGTAATACTAAGACTTCATAATATTTTGATTGTGCAGCCTATGGCTTTTTGATGACAGATATGTTAATTCATTTGAAAATACCCTTTTTGTTGCGTTTAATTTAATCTGAATAAACTTTTGTTAATTATTCATGAACATAAATTATTTGATTTATCGTTTTGTTAATGTAGAATAATTAGTTTATGGTTGTTCGAGTAGAACCATAGAAAGGGCATGGCTTTGTGGTGACAGATACTATCATTTTGTAAGTAATCTTTTCGTTGCCTTTAAGAAATTAAACCAAATTGAATTTTGAACGAATTGATGAACACAACTTGAAGAATGATTGTCGGTGACAGATATGATCATTCTTTTGAAAATAATCTTTTTGTTTCCATTAAATAAATCCAACTACTAGGTTTTAACATAGCATTAAAGCATTTCGTCTTTTTAATGTAAACGTCATTTTGCTTCTTTGTAATTGATTTGGAACATATTATACGGACATGGGTTTTCATTGCTTATAATTAAAATTTAAAAACTAAATACAAATGTATCTGCTGCACTTATAGGCATGTTATGTGAGCAATTCTCGAAATCTGTTAAGTAATTAATACTTTGTCAATCGAATGTTGGATTTGCAAGTGTTCGAATTAGAAAAAAAATAGGTTGGTTGGCCCACCGTGTTGCACAGATTTCAAATACTGACATGCGATATTTATTCTGACTTGATCAATAGTTGTAAAGGGCGTTTTATGATAATGTGTACAACTTTTTAATTTACGATGTACGTTATCGTTTTAAAATTGAAGAAGAACTATTGGTAAGAACACATTTTTCTCATTTTTACTTCACACAATATACAATGCACTAGCCAAATATTGTATATAATAGTGATGTCTCCGTGATATTAATTACAGTCATCTAGCCTTAAGAGCAGTGGACAACATTTGCATAAATGAAAAAACACAAAATACAAATTGTCAAATTATTATGATATAATATAGCCGAGCGGTTAGAGCGCGGAGCTACGAAGTGGAAGGTTGGCGTTTCGAATCCCATTCCATCCCAAAAACTGGAAAACTCTCTCTGACGACCTAATAGTATGGGTACTGGATTCGTTCAAGAAAGGTAAGACAGCGAAGGGAGAGGACTTGGCCCCGCCACTCATATGCTGCGCCCAAGACAAAGTGGACTTCTAATATCCGGATCCCACTCTATCTACTGTTACCTTTACCTTATCTTGCTATATTTGTAGGTATGTAATAGTAGCAAGCATCCTATGAAATCTTGAAATTAGTTTGGATAAGAAGAGGTATTTTGTATAATTTCCAAAGATCGCCCAGCACAATTTAAAATTTACACTCGTTTGAATTTTTTGTAAGTATTACATTTGTTCAGGGGCACAGTCTGCATTTTGCCCTGTAACTATACCATAATTACAGACACTAAAGTATGGCCTGTCGCTCATGAGTTATTTCAGATAAATTCAGCAAGCCGCACCGTGACGATTGAAACGATCTGTGTTCTGTTTCCTTGTTTAACTGGTTCCAATGGATATGTTATACAAATTTTACCAGCCCCATGCATAAAATTACCACAGATGTAAAAGTTAGATTACAATATTGTACAATCGAGTAAAATATACCTCGTACAAATAGGTATCAAGGCTCTAAGTGACACACTCACATGAAGATAATAAAATAATGTCTTCATGAATTATTTTAATTGGTGTGATACTGTACCTTATTTGACAAACTACTCAAGTACGCACGTTTACAGTAAACTGTGCTAAAAAAGGGAAACAGCCTACGTACTGTTTTAGTGCTCTGCTAATAAAAGATCGGTTTCAAATTAGATTTATGTACGTACCAGAGTGTACAATCCTACAATTTGAGTTGTATAGTCTAAAGCTAACCAGGCTACAATATTAAGACATTTGATGTATTCAGCCTGTAGCCGCTACATGTATATGAATTTTTATCAAATAAGGTTAATCATATTTTGTCGGATTTGGCACATAATACACACAATATGCAGATTTTCGGGTCAAGGGCGGATCCAGAACACAATTGTTTTTTTTTGGGGGGGGGGCAAAAAAGTTGTGGTCCCCAAAAAATGGATCCAAATAATTCCGGCGTGCATGGGGTTCGGGGCCCGCTTTTTTTTTGGGGGGGGGCGGATTATACAGGGTGGGTAAAAAAAAACCCCGAAATCCAAATTTCGCGACTATTGTTTTAATGAAGTTCTTACTATAATTCGCGTCTTTATTAACAAAACAAGACAAGTGTAAAGAAAACTTAGGTCATTAATGTCACAATCACAAGATTCATTGAATAGCAAAGTGAGAAGACAGTAAGGCAAGGCAATAGAACTGGAACCCCATTATTTAAGAGGAAAACCGTTAATCGATTAAAGATAAACAATTCAATGAACGAAACATTAACCCTGAGGGAACTGGAACTGGTCATGAAAGAAGATCAGAAGAAACGACAGAGGTATCATCCACTCTGTCGATCCTGACTAAATGTATACATGTATTTGGAGCAAAATATTACACAAGAAAATAATATTCGATTAAAGATAAACAATACAATGAGTTATGTCACGGACAGGATTGGCGTATTTACTGCACTTATAAGAATAGCACTTTGTAAATCTAGGATATAAAAGCCCAGTTCATAATCTTTCTTTTAGTACAGGAATCATTCGAATCACCTGTGTACTTTTTAAGTTACGGAATACACAAAAAGGCGTGCGTTCTTTCAGCAAAAAGAAAACGACTCCCACACATCCCTATGTGATTTGTTTTCGTTTTGCTGAAAAAAAGACTTCCCTTTTTGTGATACGTGGACAGAACCGTAAAACGGCGGTTGTGTTTAAAACTACGTAACATGAAAAGTACATGAGTGATATGAATGATTCTTGTACTAAAAGAAAGCTTATGAATTGACCTTTTATATGCGAGATTGTGAAAGTGCTACACTTATAACTTTACTAAAACCATGGTCCCGACATTTGGGTTTCGTTTCTTTGGACTTTCCCTTTAGATGCTCTGTTGTGCGATCTGAGTCAATATCTGACCAATTTAACCATTTTTTTTGGGGGGGGGAGTGGGGTAATATGGTGGTGTACGCAGGGCCTGCCTTTATTGCGACGTCTTTTCAAAAGAAAATGGGTTCTTTTTTTGGGGGGGGGGCATGGCCCCCGTCCCCCCCCCCCCGATCCGCCCTTGTCGTTGGTACGTTATTGAAATAAGTAAATTGTGCATTTTAAGTTTACATAATCCGATCATAGTTGCAGTGGAATGTTGTTCACAATGTTCAAAGAATAAAGTCAAAATTCAAACTTATTCTTAAGGGTTGGCATGTAGTCACCCAACCTTGGTTCAGGGACAATTATTTCCTGGCAGTTTTTTGCAAACATGAGTGAAAGGTATGTGTAATATTCCGCCAATCGACATGTTGGCTACTCTACTAACTGTTATTGTGTATTATACAACACCTGAATAAATCCCCGTCATCTGATTGGTGAATTGAAGATCATGTGACATATTATTATTCGGTATAATGCACGGTGCGACCATGCGTTATACCCATGCGTTATACCGTTTCAGTTTGCGCTTGTTCCATGACGCGGTATTTGCGTGCAAAATGCATGCTGGTGTGCGCGTTCAGCGTAGCGCGTATTGTTCCAAAGAGCCAGCCTTACAGCGTTGGGTTCAAACATTTTCGTGAAGGGGTAGTTCAACATCTTTAAAATCAAAGCAAATTGTAGTTTATAATTTACCAATCAAATGACGAGAATTTATTCAGGTGTTGTATAAAACAAATAACGAATGTTTTACGTTCGTGCGATGGAAAGAATACTTTCATTCGGTGACAGATTGAATGTTCTATTCCACTCGGCTTCGCCTCGTGGAATAGAACATTCAATCTGTCACCTCATGAAATTATTCTTACCATCGCACTCACAAACATTCGTTATTTGTATACTGTCATGACCCCTGACCACTGATCTCTATATAAAGACTGGATAGCTAATAAAGAGCCGCACAATGTACGAATTTGACGCCATATTGGTGAGACTGGCTGGTGATCTTAGAAGGACAAGTTGCCGTTTTTATAGACAGCTTGATTTCTTTTGTAACGTCGCGGCTCACTTGACTTATATTTTGGCCACCACCACTGACCAACTGACCAAGGTTTACTACAATTTTTCTAACGTAGTGGTTACTTTTATAATGCCGCAAATCACTTTTTCGGCGTTTTTGAAATAATAATCACTACGGAAATGTGTTCCTTTTAGAACATCACACTCTGTGTACGTGACCAAAATGCGCGTCAACTGTTGATACAACGCGCGCGTATTTACGCGTAGAACGTTCGTATTATACGCGGCCATCTTCGTGAGACCGGGGGCGAATTGGTCAATATGCAAAGTCTACTGTGTGAATGTTGTATGCATATCCGCTATCCAGTCTTTAAATAGAGATCAGTGCCCCTGACCCGCTCACAGAACTCTGTTACATTCACACACGCGGTGTATACATTTTCTCTCTGTACATGGTCGTGCATAGTTGTGTAGTGTGTATTGCAGTGTTGAATAAATAGTGCTCTCCAGTGCCGAGCCAAAAAAACCAATATTAAACCAGGTTATCACAGTTAATTACAATTTGGCGACGAGGATAGTTAATTACCATGGCTGCCTTGATCGGTAAAATCGAGGAATTTCGCGAAGGAAAGGAGGAATGGTTGCAGTACGTCGAGAGATTGGGACATTATTTTGTCGCCACGATGTCACGACTGCAGCAAAGAAACAAGCCGTGCTTCTCACTGTGATTGGGCCCGACGCCTACAAGTTGCTTCGCAATCTCGTGGCCCCCGCTAAACCTGGAGAAAAATCGTATGACGAACTGGTCAAATGTATGACTCAACACCACAACCCAGTACCGTCGGAAATCGTACAACGATTTAAGTTCAACAGCAGATATCGTGAAGAGGGTGAGTCTGTAGCCCAATATATCGCTGCTCTGCGTTCTCTCGCAGAATTTTGTAACTATGGAGGCACATTGGACGATATGTTGCGGGATCGATTAGTTTGCGGTGTCCGAAATGACCGCATTCAACGTAGCCTTCTTGCTGAAAAAAAATCTGACACTTGAGAAAGCATTGGCAACGGCTTTGAGCATGGAGAGAGCAGCCAAAAGTGTGAAAGATTTGCAGGCCACGCAAACCCACAGTGACCGAACATTGAACAAACTGTCGCAAAGCCAACCAACGGTTGCACGAAAACCTGTATTCAATGCAATTAAGAAGCAAAAGCATGTGCAAAAACCCTGTTATCGCTGTGGTAAAGACAACCACCATTCCGACAAGTGCAGATTCAAGAACAATACTTGTTTCAACTGCCAGAAACGAGGACATATCGCGAGTGTCTGTTGCAATGGAAAAAGTGGAAAAACACCACATGTCAAGCAAATGAGTGCCGCTGTGGACATTAATTTCACTGAAAGTGAAAGTGATGAGAATGCGTCTGATCTTGACATGAACACACCCGTGCACTCGCTCTGCGGATGTTCCACTGACCGCCCGGGCATGAAGGCAATCAAAGTCACCATGTCCGTTGACAACATCGACCTCGTCATGGAGGTTGACACCGGAGCAGCACTTTCGCTTGTATCAGAACAGACATTCAAGTCACGGTGGCCAAACGCGAACCTGCAAAAGACAAAACTGAAACTCCGCACCTACACCGGGGAACAAGTCTCAGTTCTCGCAAACTTCAATGTGGAAGTTGACTATAACGTAAGTATGTTCAACCTCCCGCTACTCGTTGTTAAAGGTGATGGACCAAGCCTTCTCGGACGAAACTGGCTTCAAGAAATTAAACTTGACTGGCAGCAAATCAACGACTACTAGCGTTAAGGAAGTATAGGGACATGCCAAAACTGTACAAAAAAAAAAGTTTTCAAAGAATTAAGACAAAAACAGACAAGCAACTGGCTCAGAGACTGGCTCTGGATGGGACGTTACTGGGTCATGAGTTACCCTATTAGTCTAAGTTAGTACCGAACCGTTCGTACGGACAAGGGTCGGTGGTACACGCACGTAGCCGCGTTGATTGTGGGTGCAGGGCCCTTCGACAAAAAAACAGAGAGACCGCATTGAACAAGGCTACTTTGTTCGCAACATAAACGATTGTACACCGCTTACATACAGCACTGAAATTCATTGAGGCAAGGAATTTGGTCACTAGTAAACAAAAATGTTGTGATCAATTGACCATTGTGCAGTGAGGCGTGAGGGAAATTGAATTACACTCATAGGGGTTGAGGCCAAGGTTTGGAGTATCTGCATAATTAAAGATTATCAAATTTTACTTCGTGGTTTTGCTACTGAAAAAAAAAATATTTAGACGGACACTTTGGGGGAGGACATAGTGTAGTACCGGTTATATAATGCATTTTACCATTTTTTTCGACAGGATTCAGAAGACATGAAGCTGGTTGCAGCAGTGCTGGATCGCTTCTTCTTCGTGATTGCGGCGATCTTGTTCATTTTCGGCAATCTTCCGCTGATTGTAAAATGGATGTCCATGTGAAAGCAAAATGGCTGTGACCTATATAAGAAGTTGCATCATAGTCTGAGGTGATATCCCATGTTATGGGATATCCATGATTCAAAAGCATTCAATTCAATTAAATTTAATTCAATTCATATGTATTAGTACCTGAAGCTGAATTACAGGTGTTTATATTGGTAATCATAGGTCAGGTTCGTATAAAACGTAAAGTTACACATTTTTTTGATAAAATAAAAATATTTTCTGAAACC